GCAGAACGGAACAGCTAGGCCTGGATTCAACAGAGACGCATACCTTACGCATTCAGAAAAGCATTTCTGTTTTACTTGCAAAGGAACCCCTTAGCAAGAACTTAAATTGCAGAATAATAATCAGAGCCTCCCTTCACCTGGTCTTAAGTTCACCAGGAGATCAAAAGAGCCTTCAGATTAGAGTTGGTAAAGGGCTCAACTAGTCCTGTTTTAAGTCAGGGGTTTCTAAATTAGGCAACTTTAAGACTTGTGGATGTTAACTCCAGAACTCCTCACTGGTCCACGAGTCTTCAAGTCGCCAAGTTTGGAGACCCTGTTCTAGGTCTCCAGAACACCAGAGCCATCCGTGAAGCCCTGGTCCGTTGGAGGTTCCCGGCTGCTGGCATTCCAGAGAGGTCCGTTGTTTGTGGAGGAAGGAGTTATCAAAGGCACTAAGCACGCAGAATCTTGGAACCCCCTCTGGGTTCAATCTCCTTTCAAAAGCATTTCAGTCCATGGCCAGTCTCCCAGCCCCATCTGGTGGCAACTTCACCAGGTACTTTTAATTACTCAGAATTGTGGACTAACTCAACTGGGTCCCAGCGTACCAGGGGAAGGGAAGGGAGTAAAACCCCTCTTCTCTCTTCATCCAACACTTGTTGGCAATCACTGTTGTGGACTGATAGTGCTTGGCCCTATTACAAAGAGTATCCAGCTGGCTCTCTGTCCACTTCTACTCTTTCACTCCTACTACATGTGGCTGCAGAAAACTCAAAAGGCCACAGAGGAAAAGTTCCTAGAGCATGCCTAACTTGATGGACCTCTCTTTTATTTATTTTTTTTCAGAAGGCACAACCCAACTATTAGGGAGAATAATTTTAGCTCCTTAAAGATACAGAGTTGTTGGAGACTAAATCCTGCTCCATCCTGGGTAGTGGCCTGGACCTGTTGTATGAGTTAGGGTGTTCACACAACACAACGACCCTTTCTTTTTGCATGACCCGTGATGCATGTTGTGTGAATCCCCCGTGCCTTTTCCTTGCGGACGAGTAACTCTACTCAGGGCTCCATAAGTGGAGACCATGGAAGAGGGTTTGCAGGCAGGGCAGATCCTTCCTCCTGGTGTTACAAGCACGCAATCAGATAAGAGGAGGAACAGGAGACCCATCCGCCTTCCTGTCTCACTGGCTGCTGAGAAACAGTCTTGCTAAGCCCTCCTTTCCAAACCACTTAGTGCCAGAGAAAGCTGGAAGAATCGGGCACACACCTTCCTTCGCTTTGCATCTGCGCTGCAATTTAGCAAGGGGGGAGCTGTTTGGGGGGGGGTCCAACTTTTTCAATTCCACTGCCCAAAAAATAGGAGCCCCTTTTCATTTCCTTGCCATCTTTCCAGTTCTTTCTCCCCTCCCTCCCTTCCCTAAATTAAGCCATCCTAATTATTTTCGGACTGCTTTATCTCTGCTTTGCAACACTCTGCAGAAAGACAGGGCGGTGAGCACTTTCAGCCACCATAAACAAAGGGACGGTTTGGAAAACAATTCTATCAATTAATCAAATTAAGCCTGCCGTTTTCGTTACAAGCCCCAAGTGGCCGGATCCGAGCCCAGAGCGAGGAGCTATCTCTTCCTGACAGCGCTTAAACGTTTCAATGGCAGTCGCAATGAAAGGGATCCTATTGCCGTGACTTGCCTTTGCCAACTCCCAGTCTTGGGGAATGTGCCTGCAGAGGTCACCTCGAGGGCATAAAGAGAGGACCAGGATGGCCCAGGAAGTCTTGGTCTTTGCCCGGGAGCCAATGGCCGGAGTTTTAAAAAACGGCCCGCATCCCCAAAGGCTGCAGGGTGGTCCTGTGTGCCAGCCAGGTGGATGCCAAAAAAGAGGGTTAGGGTTATGAAGGAGCCAACCAGAGAGTGGCACCCCGGGCAAGGAAGACCTCGTGGCTCATACAGGTAGTCCTCAACTTATGACCACAATGGAGCCTAAAATTTTGAGTTTTGCCCCATTTTATGACCTTTCTTGTCACCGTTGTTAAGCGAATCATGCAGTTGATAAATTAGTCACCCGGTTGTTAAGTGAAACTGGTTTCCCCATGGATTTGCTTGCCAGAAGATCACAAAAGGGGATCACTGTCATAAAGATGAACCAGGTGCCAAGCATCTGAATTTTGATCTCATGATTCTGGGGTTGCTGCAAAGGTTGTAACTGTGAAAAACGGTCGTATGTCCCTTTTTCCAGTGCCATTATAACTTTGAACAGCCACTAAATGAACTGTCGTAAGTTGAAGACTACCTCTATTTGCAGAGGGGGTTTTTTTCTTCCCAGGCAGGCACCTCATTTTGCAACAGGTTGGGCTCTCAAGGCGAACCCCATGCTTGAAGAAAGCATATTATTATTATTATTATTATTATTATTATTATTATTATTATTATTATTATTATTATTATTATTATTATTATTATTATTATTATTATTATTATTATTATCTGGTTCAGCAGCAGCCAAAAGGAAAAACTGGAACTTCTGGAGCAAGTCCCAACCCATTAGCTCCAAATTGTTAACTGATTATGAATTTGCCTGGTCAGAGACACAAAGGACTGGCTGAGATTTGCTTCTTGGTGTTTTTCTTTCTAGATTTATGGATGCTTATCAGAATTCTCAATTGCCTCTGAAAAGCCAGGCAGCCCCAGGTACAGACTGGCTTTGAACACCTCTTTTACTACTTGGTTGTGCTGCTGCAACATCCTGTAGCAATGAGTTCCACAAGTGGACAAGCCTTTTCCTTAAAACAAGCCTGTTCACAAGGGAAGCTCACTGCTGAGCACACAGCCTTAAAAGCCTCCACTGAAAGACCTTCAGCAGGGAAGCAGCCTGGAGGAGACGACGGTTCTCATTCCCAAAAGAACTGCAAACCAAATGGATTTTTTTTGCTGAAAATGAACAAAAATGAACGTGATTTGGGAATGTATTGATTTAAAAGGTTTGTTCATGGGAAGAAGGGAACCATGCTATGCAATACGAGAAGTGGTAACTGTGAAAGAGATCAGAAGTCACTTTTTAAAGATATTTTCATTTACTTGTTTTGTTATCTTTCATTTTTCCTTTTACTCCTTTATATTTTCTTCCCTTTTTTTACTCTTTTACTCTCTTTACTCTGTGGTGTTTTTTCCCCCACATCTATGTAAAATCTCCTTATAGGAGAAAAAAAATACTTAAAAAAAAGAAAAACGTCACAGACCAACAAATTTCTGGGAAAATATTGGACTATATTTGAGAGCATAAATCTCAGCCCCGTTTTACAGTACCGTCTTGTATGCGCATCCCTTATTTTATTTGACAATATTAAAAGAAAGGTCCAAAGGGCACCCAACCAACATTATAAAAACAGTCCAAATGATCACTTTCCTCTGCTTTCTCACAAATATCAAAATAAAAACTTTTTTTTAACATAATGCATTGCACCCAAATGTATAACTTTTTAAAAAACAGTGAACTGTAAAGGTAGATATTAACAAGATAAAGTCATTTAATTCCTTAAAAAAAAAGACCTTAAAAGCAAACATTATTTAGTCTGCAAGACATATGCAGAGTATTCTGGGGGAGAACCCCAAATTGCGTCAGTGCACTGTTCTGCTCTTTCTCCCCCACCGAGGTTCCAAAAACAGCCCAGACCATTGTTTCTTGACTTTGTCAACTTTATGAGGTATGGACTTCAATTCCCAGAATTCCCCAGCCAGCTATGCTGGCTGGGGAATTCTGGGAGTTGAAGTCCATACCTCATAAAGTGATCCAATATCAAGAAACACTGACCCAGACCCTCCAAAACTACCCTGAGAACTAAACCTCAGGATTTAAACCTTTATAAAACACACTGCAGAGTTGTGAGCACTGCAGGGCAATGTTCGCAACCACACTCCCCCGCGTGTCAGTTTATAAAGGCCTCCGTTCCTCTTTTAACTTGTGTGTTTGTGTGCGTGTGTGTATGCTTGTGTGTGTTCCTGTTAGAATTCACATTACGATAAAAAATAGCACCACTTAACTGTATAGTGTAAAGCCATACCAGGTTTAGCAACTACCTTGATACAGAAAGCCTTTAAAAACTACTAGGTTTGGGGGGGGGTTGCTTTTCTAAAAAAAACCTCTCTCTTTTTTTCCCCAAAGAAAGCCTTACTATGTGGAGTAGGAGTGGTCTTGGCACAGTTTTCTCACTGGAAAATATTAAAACAATATTTTTTTAAAAAATATTCAACTCTGTCATACATCTTCAAGGTGCAGTTTAGCTAGGTTAAAGGGCCCACACCCCTTACTCTTTTTTTTAAAACAACAACAACAACAACATTTCAGCAACATCTACACAGTGGTCTAAGAGAGGCGAGCAATTTCAGAGTCTCTGGAATGAACAAATTCACCCTCAACACAACGTTCTTGGGAAGGGCTGTCTGTCAAAATTGTGGCCTGCTTATTTTATAATGATTTTTCAAAGTATCTTGTCTGAGGCTGGTTCCCAATTAAATGAAATCACTCAGGATTATTTGTGCAAAGCCTCCAAGAGAGGGAGGGAGGGAGGGGGGGATACCAATGCTTTCTACAGTGTGCTGCACCTCATGAATAAGGCGTCTCTGGTATGAAGTTCACGTCTTCAAATTCTTTATCCAAAGATAAGAGAGACACCGACAGAAAGAGGGCCCAGGATTTGCAAGGCACCCTTACAACCTCAGTACTTCTGCCATAAAACATTTTCTCTTGACACTTCGCTCTGCCCAAAGCGATTACCGTTTTTTAGTCCGCGAGAACGAACCATCGGCAACATCAAAGTTCTAGCCTTTGCATGATAAATCAGGTGAATTAAAGTAGATTAGTAAGACACAAAGCAAAAACTATTTGAGAGTCTGCAGTGCAAGTTCATTTAAGCAAGACTGAGAAACAGAGCTACACAAATGAATGTAATGCTTTGATAATTTCTGTCCCCCCCCGCCCCCCAGCCCCATGAAAGCAGCGAAGGATCACCATAAGTCACTCATAAATTACTCAGAAGTATCTCTTCTTAAAGGAATTTTAAAGCTAGTTAATTTCTGCCCAAATAGTTGGTTTAGGAGGTGAGTTTGGGACTCAGCTGTCCTATAACTGTGGGAAGTGGGGACTTTAGCACCTTGGACAGCTCTGCGGCGGTTCAGAGAGCTGGGCAGGGAGGCTGAGGGGTCTTTGGTTAAGAGGGGGTAGAGGGCTTTGCTCCCCAAAATCTCCTTCTTGCGCCTCAACTCTCCATTGGCTTGGCCCATCTCCACCTTCTTCTGGAAGCCTTGGTCAAGCCCCAACTTTCTAACCTGGCCGTCCGTCACAGACCCCTTGAGTTTAGGGGCCTGTTTGTTGGCATGGGTGCCCCTCCGTCGAGGGGAAAAGGCCAATGCCTCAGTAGTGGGCCAGTCAGCCTTTTTGACGCTGTCACCCTTCACAGAATCTTGGACCCGGCCTTTCCGTTTTTTGCTGCCATCTCCTTCAATGTTCTCTCGAGAGGCCGGGCTTCCCCGATGGGAGGACTTGTTGTGTTCCTTTGGTTTTTTGGGGTGAGGATTGGCCAGCCGATTCGCAGCCGGTCTTTCTGGGAACTTGTTCAGCTCGGAATGGTGGTTCTTTGACTGAGCACTCGCCCCTTCGCCTTGCAGATGGCCACTCACCGGCCGGACCAAACTGAGTTCTGTCTCTTTCGCGCCAACACTGGAGCTGGTGTCTTTGGGGTGAGCAGTGGTGTCCATTTCTGGGAAAGCTTTGTCTCTCAAGAGTGGGCACATCTGAACCTCTTCTGCACCATCTAGGGAGCAGTGGATGCCAGGGGTGTCCTCAGCATTGGCCTGACCACCTATGACCTTCTTGGAAGGAACCTCCTTGGCAGACCGGTTTAGGGTAGACAATGACGTCTTGTCCTTGAGAGGTAACTCAGGGAAACTGGTTTCTGGCAAATGTAACTTGTTCACAGCCTCTTGAGGAGCTGTTCCATTCAGATCAGGATTGCTGTTCCACTGTATTTCAGGAGACCACTTACATTCTGAAGACCCCAGATTTCCAGGAGAAAACCTGGGCACCTTGCTGGCAAGATCTTCTAAATATGGGCTCTCCCAAGTCCCTATATCGTGTTCGACCCTTCTGCTAACTATTGTCTTTTCTGGAATGTTGTGTTCATTGTTGTGCTTCTCAGAGAGATAAGCCAGGGACAGCTTTTCGTGGGCAGCAGTTGTTTTCTTGGGTGATACACTGGCAAGATCACTGCTAAGTGCATTGGGTGAGTTTAAGAAAAGAGTTGGGTTGTCCCCAGGGCTCTCTGCATGTGCCCATGTTTCTGGAGAAAGTGCAGTAATGTGTTCTGGGCTGCCTGGGTCATCTTGGGGCTCAATAGGAAGGGATGGGAGTAGGTAGTGAAGGGGAGATGTCCCCCTTTCAGCCAGGGGACTGGAGAAATCCCTTTTTAGGCCTTCTGTTTCCTTAGGGGGCTGAGCTGAAGGGGGCACGGCCAAGCTAGTGGCTGTGGACAGAGCCTCAACAGCAGATAGCAGAGACTGGCTACCTTCTTGAGATCCTTGGGCTCCATCCAAGTGCACAGGCAAAGCTAGTTCAGGAGAGTTGTGGTGGTGGGACACCTTCTTCTTTTTGACTGCTGGAGCTTCTGCTCTTACACGGGTCTCCTCTTTGATGCCCTCCTCCCCATACTTTGCAAAGGGCCCTGGCCGCATCACACCTCGGAAACGGAAGGTCTTGCTGCTGCCCACCAGGTGCTTCTCCATGTGTCTATCGTACTGTTCCTTTTTGGAGAAGGTGTAGTTGCAAGTGCTGCATATGAAAGACTTCTTGATGACATGCATAACATCTGCACAAAGCTCACAGGCATACAGAGTGGTGTGCTTGATGTCGGCTTCTTCAGCTATTTCATGCTCTTGGCTAAGGTGGCTCCGGAGCTCCTTGGTCTCCTGATAGAACATGGGACACTTGTGGCACAAGAAGATCTTCTGCAGGCTATGGACCACGAGATGTCGCTGGAGTTTGAAGGGCTTGGGGAACTGCTTCCCACAGTGATGGCAATCTCGAGAGGGGTCTTTGCACTCAGGATGAATGGGCACCGACTTCTGGGCCCCTTCGACCTTGGGAGCTGGGTCAGGAGATGGAACAGCTGGGACTTTGAGGGAGGCTGTGGGTGGCCGGATTCTGAAGGGGATCTCCGGCAAGTCTTTCTGGACCACTGTCTCTTGTCCTGAAAACTCTTTGGGACCTTTGATCTCGCTGCCAGCAGGTGCTCCGTTCCCTCCTTCAGCCTGCTTGGAAATCTTGCTGGGTTTTCTGCAAATGATGGAGTTGAGGAAATGAGTGACAGCAGCATCCTCTTCACTGAAAGCAAGGCCCAAGACCGACTTCTGAGCCTGGCCTTTGCGGGCAAACTGAGTGGCGTGTTCTCGCAAGTGTTCATTGTACATCCAGACATCAGAGATTTCCTTCAGGCACATCCCACAGGCCCAGAGGCCAGCCTTGTTCTTGGCGTGTTTCTCCTTTAAGTGGTCCCTCAGCTGTTCCCTTGAGCTGAATTTCCTCTGGACACACATGTAGCATGTTGGTGGAGGGGAGGGATTATGACTGAGCTTGTGAAAGTCCAGTTCCCCTAAAGTCAGGAACCACTGGAAACAGACTTTGCATTTATACTGCTTGTCTTTATTCTTGAGATTTAAATCATTACGGGTTTTCCCCGTCTTCCCTTCTTCTAGCTTACGTTTTACAGGCTTGGCTTGCAACAGTGAAGTTCGCTTGAAACCTAAGGTACCTTCGTCATGCTTTGTGGGACTCAGTTGATCTTCTCCAGTGGTGCAGAAACAGACATCACTCGTCTCAAATTTCATGTTCAACATCTCCATGTCAATGGTAGGGAACGCAGATAATGTTTTTTCCTTAGTGCTGTAGGACTTTTCTTTCAGGTCAGGAAGTTCTGGGTTGTCTTCTGCTCCTGAATGCCCATAAGGAAGCTGCACGGATGAGTTATGCAATGGCCCCTCAGAAGAATTATTTTCTGTTGCTTTCTCCAGGTTATTCCAGCTTTTAAAGCATGGAAGAGACCCAGTTGGACTCTCTTTGCACAGAAAGACACTGCTGTTTTTCAAATCTTTAACTTCTTCCTTTTGCCCCGTATCCAGTTGCTGGGCTGTCTCTTTGGTAGGTCTGGAATTAACATCACCGCTCATTGCTTTACTCCCATGACACATGTTGAGCATCAAAGCATCATCAACGGAGATCGTGTCATATTCACAAGGATCTTCCCGGGTAACACAGAAGGAGCTGTTTTCACCAAGATCAGAAGCCATGCGGATCGTAAAAGGATCTGGTGTGCCTTCTGGTTTTGCAATTATCTCTGAAACAGCTTTAGGCTTTTTGGAGCGCTTCCCATATACACGTGTGCATTTTCTACGGGCAAACTCATCATTTCTGGGGAAAAGTTGTGAAAATGTGGAGTCATCATCAAACAAGCTCGGCAGATCTGGTTTGACTGCAGGATCAACAGCAGACTCCCCATTCTGTGGCTGCAGCTCTTCCCTCTTCCAGGGCTCTGGAGTCGCAGAACAAAGAGCGTCCGATGCTTTCTCAGATGTGGGTTTAGGAGAACCTGTTTCAGAAGCAGTTCCAGGAGGACAGGATGGTGAAAACGTATTGGGGCTCGTGAGGTATAGCAATGGGCTATTTTGACTTGTACCGTTCATCTCTTCTGAGAAACCCTTCTTTGATGGCTTCTGGTTCAGTTCATCCTCACCTCCTTTCACAGATCCACTTGGCCATCTCTCCTGGCTATGCTCCTCTTGTCCCAGCTCTTCCCCTTCCTCTCTATGGCCCCCCGCATTCTGAGGAAGGGGTGGTCCAGCTGTCCTTTGAGCTGAAGGCATTTTCTCAACAGTGTTTTCCAATTCGTTGGTCAAGGACTGCTGAGGCAGCAATGGCAAACACACCTGGATCTGCTCTTCTGGCCCATCCCCAGGTTCTTCTGTGACGGTGGTCAGACTGTGGTCATTAGTGATGCCAGTGGTGTTACAATGAACTGGAGGGACCTCAGACTCCTGAAGATAAGAGACGGCAATCTCATTTTTGTCAGACGTCATTTTTGTTTGCCTCGGTTTTTCCTTGGTTTTTCGCCTTGTGCAACTCCTTGATCTTTTGATATTGACCAATCTGATCAGTTTTTCTGTACTTGTGTTTTTTCTAGACTGGATTTCGGACCCATCTGATTTCTCTGCTTGTGAGCTGATGGGTTGCCTTTCATCTATCGTTTGGAATTCATGAGCGATGTCCAATGAAATCGCATTTGGGCCATTGGGTTCCTTGCTAATACCTTCTTGGCTCTGTGCCTTTGGTTCCTTCTTTTGCCTTCCAGAGGTTTTAGAAAAAGACCGGCCTACAGTTTTGGAAAGCTCTGAGTTACTAGATTTCTCTTGGGTGAAGGGCTTTATGCTTTTCTTGGGGAACACTTTGCTTGTCTTTAATGCTTTTTCCAAGGGAGCTGAATTGTCATCAGGCAACGCAACACTATCCTTCTTCTGATGTTTCACAGCTTTGTGTCTCATCAACCCAGTTTTGGATCTAAAAGAAGTGGAGCAAATATCGCAAGTGAACTGCAACCCTTTCCTCTTCCTTGCTTTTGATTGTCCAGCCTTAGGATCATTTCTTAAGATTTGGTCTTCAGGAATGGATTCTTCCATGCAGTCAGATGATTTTTTCACATTCTCATTCAATGCAGAGTCTTCATTCTCCAAATTGCTTCTAGTTTCTAGATCCTGTGGGTCACTTAGGGATCCCCTTGGTGGAATCTGACTAGTGTCACCAGCTGTTTTAGTCAAAAGGACAACTGGCACCACTTGAACATCAACATCTTTCTGGAAATATCCCGATTGACATGGATCTTTACTTTCTTCCGGGAGGCCTCCTTTGATGTCCTTTGCCCCGTGGAGATTTGATGTTGATGACACATTTTCATTACAGACTCTACCTCTGAGCTCAACAGAATCAGTTCCTGATGGAAGCTGGTTGAGCAAGATATCATGCATGGATACTGCCTGAGGACTGCTGGGTTCACCCCTCACAGAAAATATGCCATTGTCTTCATTGGGTTGATGCTTCGAGAGCTCTTCAGAGTGTTTCTTGCTTTTCAGAGGAAGCTTTCTGGGAGATTTGCAGTCAATCATTTGCAACTTTAAAGATCTGTTTGTTTTAGCAGTAGAAGACGCTGCTTTGCTGGAGCAGAGAGATGAGGAGTAACCCAGAGGGACCTTCTTCTGAGGTTCCAGCAGGTCATGGTTGAGGTCTTCAACCAGGGCACCAGGCATCTCTGGGGACAGATGAGAAATGGCATCACAGGAGGGGAAGAATGGAAGGGTTTCTGTACATCCCTTCTCTCCAGGTGGGCTCTGCTTAGGAACTTCATTCTTCTCTGCAATGGAGGGGAAGCCACACGCAAGGAAGGCAACTTGCTGACTTGCTGCAGTGATTTGACTGGTGCTCTCTTCAGACTGAATCCCTCCAAAGTCAGAGCCTATAGTATTTCTTGTTTTTAGCACCTTTTTCTGATCAGCAAAGCCAACATCCAGAGAAAGTCCAGCCTGAGAGGCTTCTGCGTAGTAGTTGATTTGCTTCTCCGATTCATGACCTTCTGTTGAACCTGAGCTATTTGCTGAAGAGAAGTCATTTCCCTGCAGGAGATGAGCATCCTCAGTTTGATTTTCAGGGGAATAGATAGGAGTCAAGGACATGTTAAGTTGCAGATGTTGCAGCTGATCTTCACTCTCTCCCACCTGGTGGACTTTGGCAGCCCCCAACTCTTCGTCCCCAGAGTTCCAAGAAGTGCAAGAGCCAACATGTACTTGGAGCATGGCTGATAAAGCACCTTGTGGCGTTTTCTTCTCGGATGACCAAGGGCTTAAGGGGGATTCTCTGCAGTCTCTAAATGCCAAGGTCTTCTCTTCTTGATCCCCTCCTGCCAGTCCTGTAATTTGACTCTGCTGCGTTCTTCCCCCCCTTAGCACCGAGGCTACTTCTGAGTTGCTGAGTGGAGAGAGGTCACCGGACTCCAGGGAGATATCATCTGCTTGCGTAGCACCACCGTTCACTTCCAGACATTCAACCTTTAAGTGCTGCTGCTGGACAACATTAGTGCATTGTGCTGGATTCAATGGGGCTGAGTCTTTGGAGACATCTGAGGCCCATTCATCAAAATGCTCTGTCTCTTTCTCTGGCTCTGAAAGCAGTTTGTTTGGAAACTCAGCTAGTTTCTCAGTCTTTTTTAACAGAGTCTCTCTCTTGTTCCCCAACATGGGGCCACTGGCGACTTCTTCATTTTGCTGTTGGTCCATAAGCTCCTCTTCTGGCTCTGGAGGAAGGCTCTGACATGAGGGCAGGTGAGCTACAGGATGCTGAGCTGGGAGTGATGAACTCACCAACTCTTCCTCATTGTTTTTAACTGTCCTGGCCACAAACAACTGCAGCTGCTGCAGAGGGTTACCTGCTTTCTCTTGGGTGGTGGACTTGAACACAACTTCTCCATCCACCTCCTTGGAAAAAGTCAACGTATCAAAATGTGGGTTGTCTCCAATGTCAGCTTTGGCATCTAGCATTAAAGTCTGGCAAACTGTTTGACTTCCAGTCTCCTCATTATTACCTAGATGCTCATCTTCATTATTCTGGAAGAGAGTTGTAGTTTCTAGTTTGTCGGGTGGATGAGTTTCTGGATTTTTGTTTTGTGCACTAGAAGACAAATTTTCATCTGATTCTAGAGTGTCTTGCAAGTCAAATTCCGGATCTAACTGTGGAAATTCATGGCCATAGGATTCTAACTCAGTGGGGCTATCACATGTTTTCTCCTCTGAGAGTAGCTTTGGGAACACATCTGGTCTCAGTGGCAAATTCTCATGTGAATTTAAATCACTGTCCTCCAGAGACCGGGGAAAGATTGAATCAGGACTTTGTATAACCTCTTCAGGATAGTCTGGAGCTCTGGAGCTGCTTGATACCTCTTCAAGGCATGAATCTGGCAGGATTCTAGTAGATGCATTTTTTATTTCCCCAAAGTCAGCTTCAGCAGAGATTTCAATATCCTTCAGATTTTCAGCAATTTTGTCTTGGTGCCCTTGGGGGCTAAAAGGACCAACTAGAATCAAATCTGGGGCTGACCGTAACAGGCTGAATGACCCTGCACATGGCCAAGGGTCGTTGGGACTTCCATACTTGGTGTCCAAAGCTGGAAGGGGTGTTTTCTCATTTGCTATATTTTCACAGCTGAATGGCTCTGTGGAAAGAAGCTTTGCATTCTCATACTCAGCCTCCAGTAGAAATAATCCTTTGCCATCTTGTTCCTGGTTCAGTCTTAAAGACAAAAGCTCACAAGTTGATTCTTTTGCTTCCATGCTGATGTGATTTACTGAAGCCTGGTCTTCCTCAGATGCCTGCAGAGTAAGTTTGTTGGCTTGCAACTGGCTTTCAAGCTCAGTGACCAACCTTTTAATCTCCAACTCATCCTCTGATAGACCACTCATGAAAGGCACATTATAATCAGAAAGCTGGTTGGATAGAGACAACAGGTTGATTTCACTGGAGTGCCTCTTTGCTGTTGGTTTTTCAACAGACAGTCTAGGAATTTGGGGCGTATCTTCTGTCAAAATGGGAGACACATCCTCCATCAGAGTCCAGTCCTTTTCTGGCAGAAAAGACGAATATTGCTGGTCAAAGGGGATTATCTTGCTAAGCTGATGATTGGCACACTCAAAGGGGATGTAATTATTCTTGCTTGAAGCCACACTGTCATATAAGTTGGCATCAAACTCAGCTATAGGGAATTCTAAAAATACTGACGATGAATCAAAATTAAGCGGTGAGGGGACCTTACTTTGGGCATTATCTGATTCACAGGCCAGGATGCCATCATGCTTCTCTTTGAACGAGGGCACATCAAAGTCTCCCTGACACAAGTACGCATTTTCGTTAGGGGAAGGTTCCATGGCTGCAGGCCCCAAGAACAGACTTGGTGTCTCGTAGCTGTGGGATAATTCTTTGCAGTCATAAAATGCATTGGCAGCATCCAGAAATGTGTTGACACCTTTCCCAGGGATCTCTCTGCTCCCAGGATTGTCACTGAAGCAGCTGATTGGCATAATGAGTTCCTGCTGGTTCTTCAGGTCCTTGAGGTCCACTTGTTCATAGCTGGTGCTCTTTTCATTGGGAATGCTGTGTTTGCCTACAGAAGGAGAACCAGTGAGTTCTTCCACTGGGTTTTTCAAGATCCCTCCTTTATTAGCAGCGTATCGGGGGCAGTGATGGCCTCCTGCCCCATCTGCATCTTTTGGCATCATCCTTGGCTTTTCAATGTCACAACAGAAGGCTCCATGGTACTGGTCAGAACCTTCAGGAGAAAGAACCACGGTGGGACCTTTTCCAGCTGTGGCCTCAGGGTGATGTGGCTTTTCTCTGCTCTGTAGCACACCTTCATCTTGATTCAGGGCAGTGTCCTGGGGAATGCTTGGATTGTCTGTCTGAAATTTCTGGTTATCTACTGGCTGAGTTTGAGGTGGGTCAACCGTACTTGGCGTTCCAGGAAAGTCGGAGCCTATACTGTGGCTTCTTCTTATGGTTTCATTCTCAGGAACATTAAGTGGTCCAACACATCTGGAAATTTGCAGGAACTGTTTCCTCTGTTCAGTTTCTTTTTCAGTGTCTGAATCCCCCCTCTCAGTGCTCTGGGGGCTGTTGCTGGTCTCACTGGACATGCTCAGACTCTGGCAACTGCTTGTGGAGGACCGACTGCTTCTCCTCCTCACTCTTGCTACAGGACCATCTGTCCTTTCCAGCTCCTTGTTTGCAAGTCTTTTGGGTTCCTCCTGTCCTCTTCTGGGACCATACCTCCATATTGGCTCCGTCCCCTTCTCCCTTCCTCCTCTTCCTTGGTTCCTTCTGTTCAAACTGCTTCTGAGCCGTCCGCTGAATCTGGAGCCCAGCTTTCTCCTGCAGTGTCGCTTGGCGTATTCCACCCTCTCTTCATCTGATTCTGACATGTATTCATACTCACAAAATTTATTGTCCTTTGTTTCTGGAAGTAACCGGTTGGTGAGCAAGGAAAGTGACACCGCTTTGCTATTCTGGCTGTGCAATTTATGGAATTTGTTTTTTTGCTGGACAATTTTATGGATAAGCTCCTTGCTCCAACTGCCACTCCGCAGCTTCCTCTTCTTGACATCTTTCTTGGACAGCGTGGTACTTTCTGCCAAGCTGTGAGTTCCATCAGGCTTGAGTTCACTTCTTGGAGAAGCACAGGGAAGGTTCTTGGTCAGCCTCAAATCTGACATAGTTTGGCTCCCCTGCTTCATAGGCAGCAAAGGACCACGGCTGTTCTTCTTCCCTGCTTTCTGTTGGGCACTTGTGTCATCTTCTGCTGCCCCAAATATTGTTGGCTCCAGGGCTTTATTTAGAGGCAATTCTCTGCTCTTGAATGTTTCATGTCTTTCTTCTCCAAAGTCTGAAAGCCAGTTTGTTCCTCTCTCTGTAGGTTGCTTTGATGTTCTACTTTTGGCCAGCTCCCCACTAGGATGGTTGTCACAGCAGTTGAGCATTTTCACGCTTTCATCCATGCCTACATGTTTGGCTTTCTTCCCTAAAGTCAAGTTCTCTTTTGCTTTGAAAGGTGTCCCACCAGCATTAGTGGCCTTCACAGATACCAGGTCTTCATCAGCAAACACATCTATGAAGCTGCTGTCAATCTCAGGGTTATCCGACTGGTATCCCAGTCCATTCAGAGCTTCAGTGATCAAACTGTCTAGCTTAGCATCATCGATCTCCAAGTCAGAAGTGTTGAGTGGCAAGAAGCTTCCGGGAAAGCCATTGAGCTGGTTCAGTTTCAGAGGATCATCTCTGGATTCACCTTTACCCTCTATGTCCACCAGGAAGTCCATAGTCTTGTTCAAAGCAAGCAGTTGCAAATGAGGATCTGGAGGAAGGAGCACCCCCAGACTAGTCTGGGTGTGCTTTGCAGACTCAGGAGAGGCATGATGTTGCTTCTTGACTTCTGCTCCTCGGGAAGAGTCCTTGGCCTGACCCTGGAGGACCACGTGAGAGCCACAGAACTGACGGTGCTCCAAGAAAGAGGAAAGGTTGCTGAAGTTCTGATCACACTGCTTGCAAGTCAGGAAAACATCCAGCTGGTCAAGACTTGTGCTGCTCAGTGAGCTGGCCAGGAAGTGACGGGAGGAGGAATATGGGTAAGGTGGTGGAGGCAGTTCACTCTCAAAACCCTCTGGGAACCTTTTGGAAGCCTCCACATTGGATTTTGGGAAATGGCTGTCCACGGAGACACCTTTATAGAGGAGTTCCTGGTGAAAGGCCTTGATGGGGCTGGCCATCTGGTAGGGGACTGAGCTGGCCCCCAGCAGCTCTGAGGCCTGGAAGGGTTTACTGCCATCCTTTGGGTGGTGGCCTTGGTGGTGGAAGAAGGTGGAGGCAGCCAAGGCAGCTTCATCTTCAAAGCTGTGGCCTGGAGGGCTGCTGGATGTGAGGGAGGGAGAGGAACAGCTGCTGTTGAGGTTGGGGGTGGGGGACGGGAGAGGAGACCCCTTTGGGGATGGAGTTAAGGTAGATGGTGGCAATCCTAAACTGGGACTGGGTGGGTGGTGAGAGGGGATGGGAGGCCGTGCTGGGCTTACGCTGAGGAAGAAAGTCGTGCTCTTGGACATCTCCACATCTGTTGAACCTTCGAAACAGATGCTGCTGGCTGAGCTACAGCTCTGAGGGGACAGGTCCTCGGCCACCAGAGCTTTACTGGGATAGCTGGTGGGGCTTTGGGGCAGTTTCTTGCTTCCCTCCCACTCTGAGGTGCTGAGGGGGAAAAGAGGCTTCTGGCTGGCCAACTTTCTGGACAGCTCGAGTCTATTCTGGCCAGGCACCCCACAGGTGAGAGGCAGATGCTGCCAGGCCTTTTTGCCAAGACCCGAATGGTACCCAAAGGAGATCTGGCTGCCCTCTGGACTGGGACACCCCGCTGAGCTTGGCTCCATGGGGGAATAAGTCTTTTTGCCTCCCTCCCAGGCCTGCAGGAGCCGGGGGTGGGCCTGAACGCTGCTGGAAAGGCTCTTCTCAAAAGGCACCAAGCTGGACGCTTCGTTGAAAGCCTTGTTTTGAAAGTGCACTTGCGGGAGAGTAACTGGTAGCCCGTTCCTTCGTAGAGAGCTGCCTACATCCAGTATCCTTTGACTAGCTACGCCGTCTTTCGACAAAGACGAATGCCTCTTACCCACGGCCTTTGGCGTACTCGAGGCATGTAAACTGGGTGGGAAAACAGCTTGGTTTTCTTGGAAAGTGCTTGGAACTTGGTCAATAGCACCAGAAGGAGAGATAGCACCGTTGTGGTCAGTGGAAGGTCCATTCCTTCCTTTGTAGCACGGCAAGTGTCCCGGCGTCTGTGGCAGGTGGAATGGAGCAGGGGGAGGAGTCAGCCCGTACGTCCTGCTCTCCACATTGTCATAGGAGCCGTTGCCAAGAACCTCCTCCTTCCAGTCCCGGGAGGAAGAATGGAAGGCAAAAGCACCATGAGAAGCCTGACTGGTGGCCAACGAGATGTTGTCAACATAGTCTTGGGGGTCAGCCTCACCTTGGAATGGATCTGAGGCCGAGCTAGGTAAGGGGGAGAAGGGGTACTGGAAGGACAGAGGTCCTAAGCAATGCGGGCTCGGCTTCGGGAGTCCATTATTAGCACCAGGGTAGCCTTTCTCTGGTGAAGGCCACAAGTTACTTCCATTCGCTTGGAACTCCAGGTAAGGGAGCTGCCCTTTGGTGCCAGGATTTTTAGGAAGAACACTAACCAGTGGTTGTATCTTTGAACCATGGTTTGGACATGCAGTGGTGGCTTGTGAGGTATAGTTGCTGGAGATGTGGCTGGTGGGAGCCTCTGAAAAACAGCAGGCAAAGCTCAGCTCTTCTTCAGGGAGCTTCAGATCTCTTTCGGGGAGGCTGGGCACGTGGAACCTGTAGCTCCCCAAGACCGGTCCTCGGTCAGCTTCAACCTTTTTGGGTGGTGTGATTTTCTGCTGGGGATAAGCAATACCAATGGTGGGGTTGGGCCTGGCATTGCTGATGGTGAGCCGGTAGAGTTGCTGATGGCCCCGCTCGCTCCTCCCTGCCCGCCTGCTGCTCCTATCTCTTGCCCGGCTCCTTCCAGGGGGAGACAGGGGGTTCCCTTTGGCAGCACCCCACGGGCCGGCCCCAGGAAATCTGGGGCGGTTGCTGAGGGACTTGAAGTCTATTTTGCCTGCTTTCTGGGGGCGGATCACAGCTTCCCGTTGACTGTGAGGCTCCTTCTCCTTGTTGCTGACCAAGTCAGTCCCATTATGGCTCCCACTCTGACCTTCTGACTTGGAGCTGTCGGGCAGCCTGCTTTCAACTTCACCCGGATCTTTCTTGCTGAACGGCTCGAAGCTGAGAACGTTGTCCTGGGCACCAGTCTCAACATCACGGGTGGCATAAGCATGCTGGGTTTCTCCCATGATGTCATTAAGGACCAGGTTTAGCAAGAGCCTGTTTCCTTCAGCTCCTCAGCCCAAAGATTCCCCATCCTTTAGATTCTCTTTTCTTCTCCAGGGGCCGGGAGGCATCGCCGCCTCTTGAACAGCTCCTCTGTCCATCCTGGCTGCAGGAGAGGCTCTGCGGAGGCTACACGGGCAGGACTCATCACATCCTTCCACGGGAGACCTGTAAGACAGAAAGTCCACGTGAGACTTGGGCCCCATGAAAGTTTGGATTCACAATAATCAGGCATTGTTCAAAGCTTAAAGTCCATTTTCTTACTGACTTCTGGAGAAAGAACTAAGGCAAAGATTTACAGACTCTTAAACTAAATTCACACCAGATCCAATCTGGATCGGTCACTGGGACCAGAGATGTATTCGTCTGGGCTGCCAGAAGAAGAATTTCCCTGAGGAGGACTAAGACTAAACCTCTGGCCCTGCTGACCAACCCAAATTGGATCTTGCAACACTATCCTGGGACACGTAGATTTGCCTTCATTCATAAATTCACACAACCTGCTCTCCTCCCCCCCCCCCCCGTTGTTCAGATGGCTTTGGACACAGGGCAATATGCAAGCCTTAGTCAGTGAGGACTCACAGCTTAGCTTATTGTGCAAATCCAGGAAACTATGGTTTATTCCTTGAACCGTGCCTAGGTTAACTCTGGCTCAGCCTGTCCTAGCTAAGGAGAGTGAAACAGAGCCACCCTGAGACCAGCGCTTTGAAAGAGCAGCAAAGGGGCTGAGCTGCAGGATGAAGAGAGAGGCCCCTTGAGGCGAGCCGGCGGAGTGCTGTGGCAGGCCCTTCTCTTCGCCCCACCAGATATTTCTCCTGGCACGGTGGATGACAGACGGGTTCTGCCTGCAGGCTTATTGTCAGGCAAAATCTCTGCCTCCCAGCGTTGATTTCCTAAGCCCGACTGGGTGTATTTCTATGGCTCCTGCTCCCCCTTCCCACCAGGGCAATCCTGCTCAAGCAGCGCTTCTGTGCCACGTCCTGGATGGGAGGGAGGGAACAGCCAAAGATCTTCTCAGCCATCCTCACCACTCTCTGCACAGCCTTCCCGTCCCAAGCAGGGATAATTGGGACTGAGGGGCACGAAAGGAGTGGGGAGGCTGGGCTGCCTATGGAGGCCACGTCGTGTCCCCGCATCTGAGAAAATTGGTGCATTCAGGAAAAGGAACCTAGGAAAAAGGAAGAGGAGAAGAATTTTCTCTCTGAGACACCCCCGAGGGGGGAGTTGTTTGTGTCTCTCCAATCTTCCTTTCCAGCAATTAATTTAACTCTTAAAAATAAGCCAGCAATTGTCAGAGAGAAGCTCTTTATTTTTATTTTCCGCTCTCCCTCAAACCATCTTCTGCGCCCCTTTGAGACTCATTGCTTCTCATGTACTTTTTAATACAAATTCCAAATTTTTCACGCTTGCCTGCCCAAATAAAATTCCAGATGGTGAGGGTTGGCAGCGGAGAAAGACCCCCGGCTCCTCCTTCCTGTTAGCCAGCACTGATGCTATCACTGTCAGCATTGGCCACAATTCATGGTTTATGCCCCAGTGAAAACGGTAATGGTTGGCCCACTCACGGCTGCTCAAATCGAAATTAAATTTAAATTTGCAAGGATATTCCTGGCCAAGATTCCCCAGCTGAGGCCACAAGGGCTGCCCTTATGCTAGCTAGGCCTAATCAAGCTGCAAAGAGGAGACATTTTGGGAATAGTTAAAAAAAAAAGTGTTGGTATCCAAGAAATGTACAATGGTTACATCACAGACTTTGCATTAGAGCAAAAGGAACCAAAACAAACAACTGCTTGGCTTCTGATTCAGGCACTGGAGTTCAAAAACTGTCCGAAATGGGAACAGAGCCGAAATAAGCACAGACTGTAAACAGGAAAAAGGTCCCAGAAATTTAAAAAAGCAAAAAAATAAAAACAGAGGGAGCCCAGGAATCTGCTTTGAACTAAGGCAAGCTTCTTGTCCCTCTAAGTCCAGCAGCGTCCACTCTGCCGGCCCCAGAAGATCTTCCTGACTCCTTCGAGCAGGGATTTGATACAAATCTCCTGCAAGCCAAGCAGGAGCTTTGCCTTCAGCTGCATCTCTCCCCTTTCCTAGTCACCAAAGTTGATCCCCAAAACCTGGTCTTGCTTATCAGAATCCTGCCTCAGGCTAAGCCATGGATTGGTTAACTGTGGTTTCCTGAATCCTCCCTGAAAGGCGAGGTTGGATAGCATTTCAAATCAAATTCATGACCTTTGGGCTTAGGTGCAATGTGTGAACCGGATCACAGACAGACGAGCATCTCTGGGCCAGGATCTCCTAAGCCTAACTCAGCCAGATGTCTGACTTCAATAGGTTCCTGCACCCACCGAAGGAGAATTGAGGAGGGCACTGGGGTCTGGCTCAGAAGGGGAAGAACCCCCCCCCTCCCTCCGCTTCCTTACTCAAGGAAAGCAACCTTAGAAGTCAAAGAAGCTCTCCCCCTCCCTCCGTCTCCCTGCGGGGTGCTGGGGGAGGAGACGGCCTCCCTTCCATCCGCCTTTCTAGAGAAGCAGCAACTGGTTCATCAAGCCATAAATTATATCCAGGCAGGTTAAACAGAAGCTTTTGGACTCCAAAACTTTGGCTTAAGGTTATGAAGAATTGCTTCCTCTCTTGTAAAGTGCCGTTTCCAATCCTTCTGTGGTGTCTAGACAGCTTAAACATTCAGTTTCTTCTTCTTTAAAAGGCCCGAGAGGGTTGTTGTCATTTTTTAATTTGCAAAAAATAAAAAGGATGGGAGGGAGGAGGAGGAGGAGGAGAGAAAGAGAGGAGGGAAGAGAGAGAGGGGGAAAAAATGCTTCCAGACAGCTGGTGAGGTGGATTAAAGCAGCAGAGAGGCAGGATGGCTTGGGATAAAGTCTTTACATGTAGTCCCCGACTTACGGCAGGTCATTTAGTGACCGTTCAAAGTTACAACAGCACTGGAAAAAGCGACACGATCACACTTACGATTGTTGCAGCATCCCCACGGCCAGGCGATCAAAATTCAGGGGCTTGGCAACTGACTCATATTTACGACGGTTGCAGCGTCCTGGGGTCACGGGATCCCCTCTTGCGACCTTCTGACAAGCAAACTCAGTGGGGGAAGCCGGATTCATTTAACAACCGTGTCACTAACTTAACAATGGCAGCGATTCACTTCACAGCTGTGGCAAGGAAGGTCGTAAACTGGGCCAAAATCCACTTAGCAAATGTCTCGCTTAGCCTCAGAAAGTTTGGGCTCAGGTGCGGTCGTAAGTCGAGGACTATCTGTACTCAGAGAAGGTGGAAAATATGGGGAGGCGAGATAGGAGCACAGGGAAGAATAAAAATGGGCCTAGGGGGCAAGGAAGAGACCCCCCCGCACCAATGATTCCCCAGGTCAGCCAGCGATACCTTGGAAGGCTTCGGTCCCTCGGCTTTTGCAGGCTCCCGGCTTCACTTCCCGTGAAAGGCTCCGTTCTTGGCTGGAAGGAAGGTGAAAAATATGTCAGGAATTTTCACTGGGCTTGGCCGGGGCTGCAGCCTCACATCGCAGCCTCTGCTGAGCCCCGAGGAGGGTGGGGGTGGGGAGGGGGTTGGAGTATCCATTCTCCCACAGCTGCACAGCTGGACGTGCCCGAAAAAGGACCTGGGGTGGCTAAAGGCGACCCCAGCCTCAAACGCCCCTCAAACGGGCTGGGGTGTCGGTTGTGAGTTCGAGTGGCATTACAGATGAGCTGGCTGCGAGGCTGGTTGCAGCCACAGAAAAGGGCATTTCAGGGCAAAGGGAGGGAAGGGGCACGAAGCCCCCTCGTGGCAGTGCCAACATTGCTCTTTGACAGGTTTTCCATGCACAAGTGCTCCATGATTTACCACCATTTATTTAGCCATCATTCAAAGTTACAACGGCACTGAAAAAAGAGACCTATAAGTGGTCCTCAGACTTTGGACTGTTGCAGCATCCCCTCAGTCAAATGCCAGGCAACTGAGTACTTCTGGACCCGAAAAAGAGCTGCTGCCCGTCTCTTCTACGGCCCTCTTTGCTGAACCCCAATGCTGAGAGACAGTGAATTATTTTGGCATCAATTAAAGAAAAGAAATGTCCATAATTCTGCTTCTCAAGCCTGCCATTCGCTGAGGAATGATCTGTTTCGTAAGTGTGGCGAAAGGGCTGCTGGGAAAAAAGTTACATTTCGGACGCCCTGCGCACAATTAGCAGCAGTGATCTGGATTTTTTCAGCCAAAGCTGGGTTGGGAGGGAGACCTGCACTCCGCTGAAGAGGAAGCTGCCTTTATCCCCTCACGGGTTTCAGGGCTTATCGCATCACCAAACAGATCAGGGTTTAGGACCAGTGGGGAGGGCAGAAACACAACACAACACTCCCTGCCCCCCACTGTGGGGCTGGGGAGACTCGAGTGCAACTCAGCAACCGATGGTCACCCCTTCTTCCCCATCCGGCCATCTCACAGCATGGTTGTGCACATCAAATTGACCTCCGCTCTGGACTCTCTCAATGGAGTCCATGTTCCTCTGTTTTACAGAGAGTCTTCACTCAGAGACCACGACGGTGACTGGCAATTGGATTGTTAATCAAAGCCGTCTCTAAGTGAAGCCGTGACTGTGCTTGCAATCTGCCTTTTCAGCAAAAGCATCTTTCGTACAATCTCCCCTACTGGGGATGATGGGAGTTGTAATACTACATAGCTAGGAGACATGAGGAAAACAGCCGAGACTACAGTAGTCCACACAATCACCAGGACCAACAAGGATTCAGAGGCACGCACATACACACACACACACACACACACACACACACACACACGTACAGAGTATATGTGCTTATTCCAAAGATGCACATAAACAATTGCCACTAACTGTCCGGTTACAATGAAGGAGAAATAAATCTAGTTAGGTGAGATAGGATCCCCCTCTGTTCTTGCACTTGGATTCTGAAATTGCTTATCGGGCAAGGTAGGTTTTGCC